ATTCCAGGCAAGATATATATGCACCATCCTTGGAACTGTCAAGAAATTAGAAAGTAGCACATCCAATCAAACTTGACAGGCAAAGGATCCTATGACAGTCTAGCTAGGGAGCTCCAGAAGATTACATCACTAGAAACTACTTGTGGAGTCCTGTAGCTCAGTGGTTAGTGCACTCGTCTGGCAAGTGAGAGACTTGGGTTTACTTCCCGCCAGGATTAAATGTTGTGCAAGTTTCCTTTCTCCACATGCCTGTTTACCTAGCAGTAAGTAGGAACTCAGTTGTTAGTCGATTGGCGGATCGCTTTTCCGGGGGTAATAATTCCTTAAAAAAAAGTATAACAATAAATTGGTCATTCAATCCATATCTGCTTGTGGGACACTGTTGTCCACAAAATATACAGTCAATTCACTTTGTCGTTATTACACAAGGGGGGTGGGGGGGGGGGGGGGTAGGAATCCTAGACGAGAGCACAGAATGATTCACCCTACTTGGTAGGTGGCTTTTTTAATTGAGGCATGCACTGTTGCCTCAGAAGTCATTCTTTCTGACAATGTGTCCTTAATGTCACATCTTGCAACAACAAAGCCCTACCAGTCCTGTCAATCTCCCACATAGTAGCTTGAATAGTAATATATTTTTAAAAATGTACACACATTTCATAGGGCCAATAAACCTTTATTACATGTAGCGATAAAGTATCTTAAAGACAAAATGTTTTCACCATTAGTGAAAAAACAGAAAGTTAATCATTAGCAGATAGATAGTACCCATTGTGGGACATTGTCATATGCAAATTAGCTGTTGTGTTCACCTTCAAAATACACCCTCTTTACTGTAAATCCTGTGAAATATATGGAGACACTCTCTTGATATGAAAGGCACCAAGAATTATAATTATAAATATAATGCATGGAAGCCTCTTCTTAAGGAGGGCATTAAATGACAGATTATTGCAGATAGTAAATAGTTGCCCCTTCCACTCCACTTTCAAATCCCGACAAAAGATCTTCCTTTTTATTGTGCTTACGGTCACCTCCTCACTCCCTCTGGCTCAGTGTCAGACTCCGCCACTGTCAAGCGCTCTGGGACACTACACCGCATGAAAGGTGCTATATAATTGCAAGTTGTTGTTGTTATTAAAGAGTAAATAAAGCTACATGTCTGTGTCAGTGTGAAGCATACCCCAGTGGGTACTCGGTAAATAAAAGTACAGATATATAAACATTATAAACATAAATAAAATGAGCACAAACACTTTAGGAATTTTAAAATGGTCAGTTTCCAACGATCACTATCACCATATTGGTCTTTAGATCAGTTAATCTGTTAATTTAAGTCAGAAAGCAATGTCGGCATCTTTTGTTTGACATTTTTTCGGGTTGAGATATTTTTGAGTGAAAGCAGAAATCACTGACAATAAAGAATGCTTTACTTGAAGGAACTTGTTCTCGGCATACCTGCTGTGCAATCTATCATGGTGGATTCCTTCTAAAGCAGTCTGATGCATGCTTGCACTAACATATACCAACATATAAATCAACATTGGTCTTAAAATAGTCTAAGATGTTGGAATGTATAGAGTAAACGAACGGCAGTCGGCAATGAGGCCTACAACAACCCCTGAGTTCTTTGTGACATTCTAAGCATTGGAAACATGTAGTTCAAACATTCATCACCAGGTTGCGCTGTATCTCCCATATTTGCTGTGTAAATATTTGGAACATATGAATTTTCAGTCTTCAGGATCTTTTTCAGTTGAAGTTTTATAGATTGTTTTGCATGACTGCACAAAGGTGATTCGGAAATATCTAACATCTAAAAAAAATATATGTTTCGGAACAATTGTGGACCAAAATCAAACATGACCATATTTTAAAACAAATATTTTTTTGTGGAATTGAGCCATACACACCTACAAGGTTGCAGATTCAAACCCGGCTGTGCTAAATTAGCTGATCAGAGCTGGGGCAAAAGAATGGGGCAATGGGATACTACAATTGACCCCATCTGCTACTGTTCAGCCCATTGCGCTAATTTATTCGAATCCGCTTGCCAGTCTCATCACTAATCACAATACTTCCTGGCAACTGCAAACTTTGATACATTACCCCCTATATCCAACTAGAGGTCGATGACATAAATCATTTGATGCATGAATGCACTCTCTCAATCAGTTTTTTTAAAAAGAAATTCACTGAGAAACTAATTGGAAAACAACATGTCCTCCAAGGAAAGCTATAAAGCTACCAGATGCCAAGCCATTGGTACCTGATCCAGAGCTGTCAGCCCCGCCTAGTGGCCACATTTCTCATTATAAATAGCTCCAGAAAAGAAATGGCAGCTTCCGTTTTTTATAGCATAAACAATTACAGGAGCAAATCTGCCCAGCCCATGTCAACATGCTATAGCTGTGTGCCTTCACTCACTATTACTGATTTCCTTTACCAAAGTACAGGTGATATTCCAACTTATATTGTTGAAAAAAAGATAAGACTTGATAACTTATCTTCAATTGCCTGAACTCTATTTTTCTGGGAGCTTCTTGGATAAATGAAGTTATGCAGTACAATTTACATTTGTTTCACGTTGTGAGTGAAAATGCTTAATATTGGGGACCTGAGCTGAGGTGTAGGAGTTGGAGGGTAGGGAAGGGGAAAATGACCGAATATGCAGTCAAAAAGATGAGTTTTGAGGCAGGCTTTGAGCAGGGCAAGGGTAGGGGTAAATTGGAGGGACTCTGGGATGCAGTTCCAGAGAATTGGAGCAGAATGTCTGAAACCCTTTATATGGTGGGGTGGATGGGGTAGGAGACACAAAGAGGACTCGAGTTCCCTGAATGAAGTGATTGGGTCAGTAGGGTTGTAGGAGGTTGCAGAGATAGGGTCAGGTAAGGCTTGTAAGTAAGAATGAGAATTTTGAATTCAATCCACTTATAGATTGCAAAACAGTAAACTATATTTATTTGTTTTGCCACTTCTTATTTAATTTGTAGGAGGATAATTTTATAGTTAGAGATATCACTTTATTGAGTGACTAAAGTCTCCTAAGCAGTATCCATATCAGATCTATCTGTTAATATTAACTTTATTTAATCCTAACATTAACAGGAATTCTAATCCAGGAGAATAGCTATTCAAAAATATTTAAGAAATTCAACTCCTTGGGACATCTTCCTGATGTGAAATGTGCTATATAAATGAAAATTGTTGTTGTTGTTGCAGTTAAGTAAGTAAAACGCCCAACATATAAAACCAAACAGGTAAACAAGTCTTCTCCCCCTTGTGTTTTCTCTCTAGTGTGAGCAATCTTGTCTCATCCCACTCAGCAACTTGCTCTCCAAACTCTTTAACTTATTCTTATTTTTGGCCGAGTGCTTGGCTGCATTGGGTGTGTCCTCCGGTTGGAATTAGTTAAGCAGGGTTCTTCCCTCCAGGGACCTACTTTGTGCAGAACAAGAATCCAGTGGAAGTGTGTATCAAAGAGGCGTAGAACACTCCTGTGTAAGGGGTAGCAGTGCAATGGAGAAGCCATTGCAAGTGGCGATTGGGGTGAGGGAATGTGATGAGAGGCTAGCTGGTGCGGATTAGAGTGAAATCTCAACAGGTTGTCTACTCAATCTGAATTGTATGGAATGTGGAGCTTAGTGTCACTGCTTTAAAATAGAGTCAGATGGTGCTAAAGGCAGAGTCAGTGGATTTCATTGAAATGACATTGAAGAGGCCTTGGGTGGTGCTAAGGAGTTTAACATCTTGTTATGATCTATCATGTGCAGCACCTGTTGTCTGCACAGAAGTCATCCTCTGGGGACCTTGGAACAACGATAACCGATATCATTCACCGGGATCAAAGGCAGAGCAGTAGGATGTCTCATGCATACTATCAGCGCCTTGGGACGTCCTCCTGACGTGAAAGGCGCTTTATAAATGGAATCTTGTTGTTGAATCTTGTTGTATCACTGGCGTAATCGAAGCACTCAGAGTGAAAAGTAACTCAGAGTAAATGAAGGAAATCTCAACATATCTATTCAACTTTTCATTCCATATTAATCCCCTGTAGAGATATTAGTCGTCACAGCTTCAGCTCAGTAAACATTGCGTTTCACAAAGTATTTCATCGTTACTAACTGAGGTATATCATTTCTATGATCATTAGAAATATTACGTTTGTGCCCATCCTCTAAATCCACGCTCACGCTATAAATTAACGAACCAGTTTGCAACCACACCATGCCTTCTTAGTAGCATTTTTTCGACTTGGATCTTTTCAAACTTCTGTAACTAAATAAAATTTAATTTGGTAAGTATTTTAGATCTGCTCCAGTGGATTTCCTGGTTTGCTCCAGTCCAGATTTCGATTTCTGATTACAGGCTCAGGTTTTTGAATCATGCTTCAGTTCTCGTTTCCCCAATCTCCTCTTTTAATTTTATTGGTCTGCTCCAGCTCTCGTCTTGCGTAGTCTGCTCTTTCAGTCCTGTCCTCCAATATTTTTCACCTCCAGGTTTTAGATTTTTTTTTGAAATATGTACGTGAAAGAAAATTGCACCTGACAAGTCCATCTTGTGATTCGCAATCACACACTTCACGTCCTACATACAACCTCCTGACTTTTCAGGGCCAAATTCGGATGCTTTTTGCACCCGTTATAAATGAAAATGTAATAAATGCAAGTTGTTGTCGTAGGGATGGTTTAAATGTCTCGTCTAATAGCGAGACGATTTGCGTTTCTATTAGACGGCACTGTGTGACTTCCTTTCTTACTTCCTATTTTTTTTTGTGAGTGCTTCCTTGTGGTCGGGGTGGTGCTACATGACATTTCGATGCTCTTTTCGTTATTGTTGAAAAGTTTACATTTGGCGTCGCTTTGGATCCTGAATTCCTTGAGTGAAACCTCCTTCGGTGCAGCCGCTTTGCCGCGCCGATCAGTCCGAGGCCCGGTTTTCCTATCTTGGCTCCTTGTCCCACATTTCCTTGTCCCCGATCCTGCATCCGAATCCGTGGGTCGAGCTCGGCTCCCGATTTCCCTGGAATCCAGGTTCCAGTCCGATCCTCACTCCGGGTTCCAGTCCTCACTCCCGGCTCGAGTCCGCGATCTGATCCAGTCCGGGTTTTCGCGGCGCCGCCGCTGTAATCTGCGGTTCTTTGTGTCGAGCGGAGCCGCGTTGCTGTCATCCGCTCCAGTGCAGCAACAGGGCCGCGCGCGCGCGTTTGTGTGTGTGTGTGTGTTGTTGGTAAACGAGTGATCAGGGCCGCCATGTCGAGCAGCTGCGATCGCGGCTTCTCCAGCGAAGAGCTGCTTTCTCTGCGCTTCCCGCTCCACCGAGCCTGCAGGGACGGCGACCTGCTCCTCCTGCGCTCGCTCCTGGCGTTGCCCGCCACCGCCGATCTGACCCTGGAGGACAACTTCTACGGTTGGACCCCCCTGCACTGGGCCGCGCACTTCGGAAAGGTAACGTTAAGACGACAACCCGCCCAGACGGTAATTAACGAATCAATGGGGGGGGAGACGGACGGACGGACCCGGAGGGGGCGATTTAGTCCGATCCGGCTCGCGCCATTTTAAATCGGATTCATTAACTGCCGCCAAACCCCGCGCGCGATAACGGCGGGTCCGTCACACCCCACCCCTCCCCCCCCCTCCCCACCCCACCCCGGGGAGAGCGTCACTGAGGATCTGTCGCCCCCCGAGATCGTCACAGAGGGTCCGCTGAACCCCCCCCCCCCCCCTGAGAGGCACAGAGGGTCCGTCAACCCCGGGGAGAGCGTCACAGAGGGTCCTTCAGACCCCCCCCCCCGGGAGAGCGTCACAGAGGGTCCTTCAGCCCCCCCCCCCCCCCCCGGGAGAGCGTCACAGAGGGTCTGATACCCCCCCCCCGAGAGTCACAGAGTGTCCGTTACCCCCCCCCCCCGAGAGTCACAGAGGGTCCGTTCCCCCCGAGAGTCACAGAGGGTCCGTTCCTCCCGAGAGTCACAGAGGGTCCGCCCCCCCCGAGAGTCACAGAGTGTCCGCCGCCCGAGAGTCACAGAGTGTCCGCCCCCCCCCCGAGAGTCACAGAGGGTCCGCCCCCCCCCGAGAGTCACAGAGGGTCCGCCCCCCCCCCCGAGAGTCACAGAGGGTCCGCCCCCCCCGAGAGTCACAGAGTGTCCGCCGCCCCCCCGCCCCGAGAGTCACAGAGGGTCCGCCCCCCCCGAGAGTCACAGAGTGTCCGCCCCCCCCGAGAGTCACAGAGTGTCCGCCCCCCCCCCCCCCGCCGCCCCCCCCCGAGAGTCACAGAGGGTCCGCCCCCCCGCCCCGAGAGTCACAGCGGGTCCGTCCCCCCGAGAGTCACAGAGGGTCCGCCCCCCCCGAGAGTCACAGAGTGTCCGCCCCCCCCCCCCCGAGAGTCACAGAGGGTCCGCCCCCCCCCCCGAGAGTCACAGAGTGTCCGCCCCCCCCCGAGAGTCACAGAGGGTCCGCCCCCCCCGCCCCGAGAGTCACAGCGGGTCCGTCCCCCCGAGAGTCACAGAGGGTCCGTTCCCCCCGAGAGTCGCAGGGGGTCCGTCAACCCCCCACCACCGCCGCCGGCGGCAGAGAGTCACAATGCCGTCGGTGGTGATTGAATATTTTTAAAAATATAAGTCCAGCCCCGGGGGCCGCCGGTCTGCTCTTTACGCCTTTTTTTTTGTTTATAAAAACGCCGCCAGTGTTGTGGAGAGATTTATGTCAGCGATGGGAGGAGCTGTGCGGTTTCGGTGTTTGGACTCGGGGGTTTCTGCGCTCTCCTGGCAATGTGCTTTGTGTTTGGGTTCCTCCCCAACCAGCGCACAGCTTCCTCAGCCATTGGTTGTGTCCACCCAATGGCAAACCAGGCGGGGAGTGGAGGAGAACAAGATCCACACCGACATCAAGGCTGCAAACCAGAGAGAGAGAGAGAAGGGAATGAGCAAACTGCAAAGCAGCTGTAACATAAAATATACAGAATATACAAAATATACAGTCAATTCACTTTACAATACATTCTGTGAAGTGCTTTCAGATGTCTTGAAGATGTGATAAGGCATATCATAGGCAAGGATTATTGTTATTATTATTATTATAACCGTCAGTGAGAGAGAAGAGGGGCGTGAGCCAACTGCAAACCAGGTGTGGTTAGGTATGTGACCAGGTTTGGATTCGATTTTGCGATAACCCGTTAGGGTTCTCTATTTTGTTTCCAGAAAGGTGGCTTTGTGAATGCTTCAGCAAGTGGGTTTGCTGGCAAGAGTATTCCAATAATTTGCAGTCTATGCCACACTTAATGCATTCTCTAATTGATTTGAAACTTGCCGGCACATCACATACATTGAGTAAATAATAGTAAAAATATTCACCTTCATGGCCTCTTTCCAGAGCTTTCTTTCAAATGATTGCTTCACAGGTTGTATAAACTGCATTCACTCACTTTGATTCTCCCTGCATTAATCCTTTTTTAGAATTCCGAAATGTAGTTGTACACACAGTCAATTTTTATCTAGGTTAAATCGCTGTAGATAACTTACTGTTAGACTTTATAACTGACTGCTCTTGCCTCTTTAAGTACTAATTGTTCATTGTGTTGGTAAATTCACATTCAGTTTAATTTATGAAATTTGAAATCCTGGAAGTTTTCCATACTTGGAGCCTAAGGTTTAAAAGATAAAATTTGTCCAGTGATATGAATGATATAGGAAAATATTTTTAATGTATTTCTTAATATATAGTTGATAGGATTCAGAAGATATAATTCAGAGTCTTAACCTGTAACTAATAGCTCATCTGGTGGCTGGGGAAGTTTAGAGTTAACATTGTAATGGCTATTTGTACGATGAAATTGCAAGTCAATGTTAGAACTTTGACTAATTTATTGCAACAATCTTAGTACTCTATTCAGTCAATGCCTGATAATAACAACAACAAGATTACATTTGTATAGCACCTTTCACGTTGGGAGGATGTCCCATAACAGATAACAGCTTGGCTCAGTTGGTGACAATCTTTTCTCTTGGGTGAGAATGTATCATGTTGAGATTTTGAACTTAGTCTGCTGATTCTTTCATACAGTGCTAGAGAAATGCTACATTAGCAGAGGTGCTGTTTCAAACAATGCCTCGTCCCCCCAACGTGAAAGGCACTGTACAAATGTAATCTTGTTATTGTTGTTCATGTTGGGAGGATGTTCCAAGGCGCTGGACAATCAGTGTTTTGGACCCAAGCTGAGGGTTGGGATCAAAGGAGGATGGAGGGCAGAGGGGGAATGAGGGTGACTGAAGGCACGGTTGAAGAGGACGGTCTTGAGACAGGTCTTAAAGGAGGCAGGGGAGTGGGCGAGGCGGAGAGACTGGGATGGAATTCTAGAGGGTGGGGGCAGAGTGGCTGAAGACCCATCTGCCAATAATGGGGTGGGCGAGGTTGGGGACGTGAAGCAGGCTGGAGCCCGCTGAGCGGAGGGAGCGGGCAGGTTGTTAGGGGGTGAGGAGGTTGCAGAGGTAGGAGGAAGTAAGACCATGGAGAATTTTGAAGGTGGGGACCAGGATCTTGAACTGTATTCTCTGTGTGATGGGAAGCCAGTGGAGTCGAGCGAGGATGGGGTGATAGGGTCACAGAGCCTGGTGAAGGAGAGAACGTAGGCTGCAGAGTTCTGGTTGATCTGTAGTCCATGGAAGGAGGAGTTCGGGAGACCAACAAGCAGGGAGTTTGCGTAGTCGAACCTGGATGTTATGAATGCGTGTATGAGAGTCTCGGCAGCCTGCGGTGTGAAACAGTGGCGGAGCCAGGCAATGTTGCGGAGGTGGAGGAAGACAGAGGAGGTCATACCACGGGTTAAAGATTTTACTCTAGTGTAGTGACTTTGTGGGCATTTACATAGCACCTTTCACCTCAGTGTCTCAAGGCGCTGGACTATCATTGTTGTACTAAATCAATGGATTATTGTAAACATGAAAGCTTACTGCTTTACCCAATTCTGACGTACCTTATATTGTATATATTATAAACTGTTTGCATTTACTGTTTGCACTGTAAACTGTGAGTTTCATTTAATTTCTAATCACCAGTTGTTTCTTATTGAAGTTGCCAAACATGGAAATTCGCGGTCTGATCCAAATTCTGTCGGCAAAATTCCTTTTACGAGATGAGGGTGTGTACACTAATGTAGCTGCCAGTTTATGACACATCATTTACAGTATGCTTTCATATTGAACTTTTAAGAACATCTGGTTAGATTAGTTTCAAAAATGCTCTTTTGAAGTGTTATCCGGAGTAAATACAAATAGTGGAAGTAGTTAACAAATTCAAAATACTGCAGATGCTGGAAATCTGAAACAAAAACAGAAGTCGCTGGGAACACTCAGCTGGTCAGGCAGCATCTATGGAGAAAGGAAAGTGAGTCAACGTTTGTTATTTAAACCAATGTACCTGTAAGTACTTGCTTGCTTAGATTCTTTACTGGCATACATGAACTTGTTTTAGAAACCTTAAAGTTGAAGTCTTTGCTTTCAAACAAACATAAAAAGTCTTGAATAAATTTTTAAAAAATTACTCAATACAAATTGGTGACTTTGTGTGTGATTATAATCCTTGCCTTATTTAACATAGGACATTGTTGCGTTGAAATGTCTCAAAAACCTTCTGAGTTTTTCCGTAAAGTGTAGTTACTGTGTATTTGTAGGCAAATGTGGCACAATTTGCAGCCAAAGGTCTCACAAAGCCATGATGAGCTGTGTTGCCTTCCAGGAAGCTCACAGGGAGATCCTGGTACCCATCACCCAACTGGTGAGAGCTCAAATCCTCTCTTGGTGGGTATTAAATGACCAACTGGTGATTATCTTCCTGGGGGGTTGGGGGGAGATAAGCAGAATCTCCTTGAAGCTGAACTGGCTCCAAGGTGACGTGTTTGGCAACTAAGTGATTCAAGCCTTTGGTGGTCTTGGTAGTCCTATTCCTGAGCTTAGTGGATCTGTGGTACTCCGTTTATGACAGTCCAGCCAGCCTGCCTCATCAGTAGGACTTGGAGTACAGACCAGTCACTGGTTGCTTCTGATTGCCTGTGTAATACCAGGATGTAGTAAATATTTAAACCAGTTTTCTAAATGAATGCTTCCTTTGAAGCTATATCTTATATTGTAGCATTCCAAAAGTTACCTGGACTAATAGTTGTTTGATAATGTAAGATAAGAAGGAATATCAGAATTGTACCTGGCTTAATAAATAACTCCTTTCTCTTTCCTCAAACAATTTCTGAAAGGAGTGTAGTTTTCAATGTACACATATTGAAAAGTGAATGTATTAAATAGTTCAAAGTACCATAATGTGCACTTTGGGGTCCTTAATACCTATGCCTACATTTCTGTAATTTCAACACATAGTGTAGTGAGTCCACTTTGGAAGAGAGAATGCATTCTTAATTGTCAAAAATATTTTTTTTAAATAAATTTTATTAGCTGGAATAGCTATCTCTTTTGCACAGCAAAGGTTTTATGGCTGACCAAAGAAAATATAGACAAGACAAAAACTTTTGAGCTAGCCTGTTCAAATTAAAGATGTGGTTTGTAACATGTAGTCGCTTTCACAGCCTGTTGCCAGGGAGCGATCTCCTTGCCCGAGTCGATTATTTTATAATTTCAACAATGTCCACTTATTTGGTGAGTAACAGTTGGTGGTTATTAACATATCCATTTCTTTATTGATTTTTAAATAAGTTCTCTTGCAGAAAAGCTTCAGGTGATGGCTTCACGATACGCACCTCTATCAAAATTCTGCTACCCCATTTTGTTCAACCTGCTACTAAATTGAATATTTGTTAGGAAGGTCAAACTCATGTTTTGAGAAGGCTGGAATACTGCAATGGTTGAGAGATTTACTTGACTTACTCAGAAGTAATGGAGTCCTGTAGCTCAGTGGTTAGAGCACTCGCTTTGCAAGTGAGAGACCTGAGTTCAATTCCAGGCAGAGGGCGAAACCTTGGGCAAGTTTCCTTACGACACACAGAGCCTAATAATAATCCCTCCAAAACCCAAAACAATAATAAATTAGTCATTTTCAATCTATGACTGTTTGTGGGACATTGCTGTGCGCAATTGGCTGCCGTGTTCGCCCACAAATATACAGTCAATTCACTTTACAATGTGTTCTGTGAAGCACTTTGGGACGTCCTCCCGACGTGAAAAGCGCTATATCAAATGCAAGGATTATTATTATTCACTTTAAACCTAAATCAAGCAATTTTAGTTCAGTAACATATTTGACAAACTAATTTCACCATAACATGATTCCATTATCCTGCTGTATATAATACATTAAACAGTTTGCAGTGCTCCGGTGTTCTTTTAAATAGGAGGAAAATTTGTATTTGAGATTCTAGACTAAACTGACAGTTATCCTCAATATGTAGTACAGTATAATCATACGCTTCATAACAAGTGTGTGCAAGTTTTTTTCATAACAAAGTGGAACTTATTATCTGGTGTGACTAACATAACATGTAGGAGCAGAAGTAGGCCATTCGGCCCTTTGAGCCTGCCCCGCCATTCAATCATGCCCGATCTTCTAATCTAACTCCATCTAATAACCTAATCCTGCCTTATCCCCATATCCCTTAATCCCTTTTGCAATAAGAAATCTATCTATCTCGGTCTTGAATATGTTCAAGGACTGAGCGTCAACAGCCCTTTGGTGTAGTGAGTTCCATACGTTCACCACCCTTTGAGTGAAAAAGTTCTTCCTCAACTCAGTGCGAAAGGGCTGGCCTCTGATTTTAAGGTTGTGACCCCTGGTTTTAGTTTCTCCAACCAGGGGAAACAATCTCCCACTATCTACTCTATCATGCCCTTTGATGCTCTTATAGGTTTCTATAAGATCCCCTCTAATTCTTCTATATTCCAGAGAATATGGGCCCAAATTGGACCTCGTAACTCATCCCCTTCATCCCTGGTACTAACCTAGTAAATCTACGCTGCACCCCCTCCAAGGGAAGTACATCCTTCCTTAAATAAGGAGACCAAAACTGTACACAGTATTCCAGGTGTGGTCTCACCAGGGCACTATACCGTTGCAGCAACACTTCCCTACTCTTATACTCTAATCCTTTCATAATGAATGCTAACATACCGTTCGCCTTCCTAATTGCTGCTGCACCTGCAGACTAACTTTCTGTGATTGGTGTACAAGGACACCCAAGTCCCTCTGGACGCTAACACATTCCAATCTCTCTCCTTCTAAAAAATAACCCGCTCTACTGTTTTTGCTACCTAGGTGGATGACTTCGCACTTCCCTACATTATACTTCATCTGCCACCTACCTGCCCAATCACCTAACCTATCTATGTCTCGCTGCATTTTTTTAATGTCGTCCTCTGTGTTGACACTTCCTCCTAGTTTTGTGTCATCCGCGAATTTAGATATATTAACTTCGATGTCCTCATCTAGATCGTTGATGTAGATGGTAAATAGCTGAGGCCCAAGGACTGATCCTTGTGGCACTCCACTAGTCACATCCCGCCAATCTGAAAAGGACCCGTTTATCCCTACTCTTTGTTTCCTACCCGTTAACCATTCCCCAATCCACGTTAATATGCTCCCCCCAATTCCATGGGCCCTTATCTTTTGGACTAACCTTTTATGCGGCACCTTATCGAATGCCTTCTGGAAGTCCAAATAGACCACATCCACTGATTCACCCTTATCTAGTTTACTGGAAATGTCCTCAAAAAACTCTATGAGATTTGTCAAACATGACTTCCCTTTTGTAAAGCCATGTTGACTTGGCCTAATTATATTGTGCTCCCCTAAATACCGCACTACCACATCCTTAATCAATGATTCTAAAATTTTTCCTATCACTGATGTGAGACTAACTGGCCTATAGTTCCCCATCTTTTCCTTTCCACCTTTTTTAAATAGTGGTGTGACATTTGCAATCTTTCAATCCATGGGGACTGTTCCAGAATCCAAGGAATTTTGGAAGATCAGACACAAGGCCTCCACTATCTCTTAAGCTATCTCTTTTAAACCCCTGGGATGCAAGCCATCCGGACCAGGGGATTTGTCATTTTTTAGTGCTAACAGTTTTGCTAGCACCAATTCTCTACTAATGAAAATTTCCCTAAGTTGCTCCCTGTCCTTATCCTCTTGGTGCATCTCTATTGTTGGCAGACTTGTTGTGTCTTCTAGGGTGAAGACAGATGCAAAGTACCCATTTCCATGTCCTTATCCCCCATTACAACTTCTCCCGTCTCTGACTCACGTTCATGATCTTTTATCTCCATATGTGTCTATCTATGCCATTCTCTTCAGTCAAAATAATGTTCTACTCTGCTTCTATTTTCACTTTCTTTCCTGTTTGACCAAATGACAGTTAAATCCTTATCATAGTCTATGCTGGAAACTTCAGAGATGAAAATCCTGGCTGAATTACATCATATTTATTGTGTTAATCTAAATGAGAATAGAACGATTTATTTAAAGACTAATAAAGTAATGATTAGGTTATTAATCATTAGTTGCTACTCACCAGATAAGTAGATATTGTTGAAATTGTAAAATAATTTGATATCTCAAATATATTATTTAGTGGATTTTTAACTCAAAAATGCATCTCTTTGTCTTTTGAGTTAGTGGTAAATGAATTATTGCCAACTTACTCATGCACATCATATTTTGTCATCTACAAATGCAGTGAAATAAGGTTAGTTGAATGTTTTAATGTAACAAAATAAAATCCTGATGTTTAGCTGTATTTCATTTGTTTATTCCAGTTCATACTCTTTATTAGGAAGGGGTCAAATTACAGTGTAGATTACATAGATATTAGCACAGTGATTTCCAACATTGAATTGACTTCCATGCTTGATCCAGTACACTTAAAAGGTTTTAAAACTGATTTCAAGACATCTGTATTGGCTGTTACAGTGTTAGCTTCTCTGAATCTTGTGAACAGTTCTAATTGTGCTGATGAACCACATTGCCTTAAATACAAATCCAGACACAGTTTGCCATTTAGAATTCTGCATTCTGTTTAATTTATAACCTCTTGATGGGCATGTTTATGTTTAGTTAACATCCTTAAGAAGTCCTGTCTATAAATCTGATACCCATACTTGTGCTTTGACAACTAAAAATAAATTTTTTAAAAATTATTTGAAGTAATGTTTTTCACTTTTTGAATGTAACAAGCTGCATTGTCTAATTGTTAATATTGAAAGCTCCCAACATCTTTTGTAGGTCTGGTGTGATTTGTATGAAAAGAGAGATCATTCAGTGCATGGTAAAATAATAATGTTCTGTTTTATTTTGTAGCTGGAGTGTACAATGCAGCTGGTGCATGCAGGAGCTGGAGTAAACACTACTACAACACGGTTTGCTCAGACCCCAACCCACATTGCAGCTTTTGGAGGACACCCTCAGAGCTTGCTCTGGCTGATTCAAGCAGGAGCAGATTATAATATACAGGTAATCTTAAAGGTGAAGGGAATCTACAGTTAACCTAGGTTATGATTATTCTCAATAAACACACTTGAATACAATTATCTTCAGAGACCATTGATTTGTAGTAGTTGTAGTTATCAGTTTTAAGAATAACCTGTCAGTAATAGTTGAATGCTAGTGGATAACATGTCTATAAAGGCTTCTGTAGGGGGTGGTTGTAGACTGGAGACTATTTAGTTCCCATCGAGGAATGTTTGACAGAATAGGAGAGTAACATAAAGAGAAGTGTGCAAGACAGTAGAAACATATTTCCCATAAATTGTTGTTTAACTCTACAAATTAATGGAATCAACCATTGGGGAAATAAATGAAGCACTGAATTGATTGAAGTTAAGAGCTGTAAATAAATCAAATGCATTTCTTCTATAGGTTTTGAAAAATGTCTTTTTACTAACGGTTATAGTTGTCATGGGTTCTTGAGGACAATAGTATATTGATTAACAACAACTTGCATTTATGTAACGGTCATCACACATGTAGTGTCTAGGACTGCTTTAACGAAGGGATCATTTTACAGAATAGGGGAATGCCTTTTGCTAAATAACTGTTATATCTGTTACATAGTTTTGAAACCCATTATCAAACTTTTATATACTCTTAATGGAAATAGTCTTCTTTTGATAACTAGCTGAAAGTATTCTTCAATCTAACCAAAGACTTGGTAAAAAGTGTAAATTCCTATTAACTACAATGAAAATTGATAGTTTCCCATTTGCATCTGTGTTCCTTTTGAAAATAGATGGGCTTGATGCGTGCCAATTTACAGTAATTCGATAACTAAATGTTTTGTGTTTTTTCATCATTCTTTTGGGAAACTGCTTTCTTAGCTGTTATGTTAGAACGATTGATATCTATTGGAGAGTACAAACAGTACAAATCGTCTATCCTAGCAGTCAGTTGATGGATATTTGAGATCTGTGGGGCTAAATCTGTCATGGGGCTGACACTTCTCACATACCTGTAAATCATTAATTTACAAAATCTAAAATTATTCATACTGGATTATCTGTCCACTGTAATTGCTATCAAAACTTCTTATCTTGGATTTACTACCATGTCAGCTTTAAGACAGCTGATGATATTGAAGAATTTGACAGATGAAATTGATCATTGGTTAGTTATTTTGTTTGAATATGATTCAATTCCATAACAGACCTGATTGTTTTTAAATTAATTGAGCAGTAAATGTAGAAATAAGCACTGGACTCTGAATGTTTGCTAACTCTGATAGCTAATGTGGTGAAGGCTTTGTGTGAGTACAGCTAAGAAGGGTCTCAGAATCCCAGCTGGGGTAGCAGTTGGAGCACTGTGGGACCCTAGCTTCCTTTGACTAGCAGGGGGAAGATTAACCAAAGTTCTTGATTATTAATGATCTGAATTTGCAGACCTAGTGTAAAGTAGTTACATTTGCAGATGACAGCAAATTGTGTTGGGGAAAATGGTAATCAGAAGAAGTAGCAAAGTTCTTGCAAAGAGAGCTTGAGAGGGTATGCACATGGGCTGATAATTCCCAAATGATGTTCAAGACACACAACTGAAAACTAATGCATATAAGAATAGGAAGCACATGTATGCATGTGGGATGGGGTAGGAGATATCAAGAGGGAAGCTGAATGAGAGCTTTGGATGGATGTTAGTTGACTCATTGCTCACTATGGCCAAAACACTTAGGCAGCAATAAATAAGACAAATAGGATATTGGGCTATATTGCCTAATTGGTTGAGTTCAGATACCCAGCAATGATACGCAAGCTGCTTAGTGCTCTGGTCAGGCTGCACCTGGAGTATTGCACGTTGTTTCAGTGCCTTTCACGTCCTCCTGACGTGAAAGGCGCTGTACAAATGTAATTTGTTGTAATCGCTTCAACATAGAGGGCTGCCCAAGCCCTAGAGGCAGCACAGAGAACAATGGGGATGATCCCCCAGGTGGTGGAATGAACTATGAGCCACGATTAGACAGGTTCTTCAATCTTGAAAAGGTGGCTTAGAGATATTTAAGATTTCAAATGGGATTGAGAAATAAACCCAGAACAATACTTTCACATGCACCAAGGCAGCAGAAAAAGAGGTGACAGATTTAGACAATTTTAGGACAGACATCAAGAGCTATTTCTTTACCCAGAAGGTAATTAAGAACTGGAACAGGTTACTAAGAAGGGTGATTGAGGCCAGGATTTTGGATGTATTTTAAAAAGCAGCTTGTTGCCGTGACAAGAGGACAGTAAGGTGGATATTCTGGAAGGATGAGATCAAATAAGCTGAATGGCCTCTTCTTCCAAATCTTGCTTGTGATCTTGTGATTATCAGTTGATCACCTGGCACATGAGGAAAAGGATGTGGTAATCTCCATGGTCAACCAGTCTGCAAATACTACTATCAAGGCCAGTATTATGGACAATGGCCACTGGGGGTGGTAGAATGTGCCCTTAGACCTACATGCTGTTGAGAATCAGATTTTACTGTAAAACGGGGGTGGGGAATTGTAAATGCATGTAAATACTGTTTGTTTGGATTCCTAAATGACACTCTTGTTTACACTACTGTACATTGTTCAGTTTAAGCATGAGAAGAGAATATCACTGAATTGTAGGTCCCCATTTTTAATTGAATACATCAGAGTTGGAAATACATTGCATATTATAGGAATAATTGTACCTGTACTACAAAAACAAAATATTTTCTAGTACAGAAAGCACATGCTAATTTCAACAAAAGCGTCATAAAATATTCATGCATTCTGAAATTCTTTATTTAATTCTAGGTAAAAAGAGGATTGAAGGCTAAATTATTTAATAGAATAAATACATGTAGAACTTACTTGTGCATTACTTCCTTACTTCTCAATAAATACAATAGCCCTACATTTTGTCAATGTTATATAATAAACCTTGCATTTGTTATAGCACCTTATGATGTCTACAAGACATCTCAAAGTGCTTCACAGAATATACTGTAAAATAAATTGACTGTATATTTTTGGGCAAAACGCAGCAGCCAGTTGCACACAGCAGTATTCCACAAATAGTCGTGGATTGAGTGGCCAAATTATTATTGTTTTGAAGGGATTATTCCCCCTGGTGGATCGATTTTCCGGGCGTAATAATCTGTTCAAAACAAAAATAATAATTTGGCCACTCAATCCTCGACTGTTTGTGGAACACTGCCGAATTCCTCCTTACAGCTAGGTAACCAGGTGTGTGGAGTAAGAAAACTTGCCCAAAATTTTGCCCTGCCCGGGAATTGAACCCAGGTCCTCTTGCTTGCGAGGCGAATGCTCTAACCATTACGCTGCAGGACTCCAAATGTTTCAAATGCCTATTTTTAAGGAAATGACCATTTAAAGTAAGACTTGTACTCTGCCGCTTTTCCTGGGAAATTTGCATAACCTAATTCAATCAGATTGTAAAATGCTTTTCACAGTGCCTGGATTAACTATAAATCCTTCAATCACATGGCTATTTATACTTTGTATAATTTCAGTTCCTTGTCTCTCTTTTGCCATTTTTAAGTTTTGAAATCTGTTTTCCTTGGCAAATTACCGATTCCAGCTCTTAGTGAGATGTAGAACAGTGCTCCTTTCATGTATATTTTAGCTTTAGTTGCTAAATATTTTTTCCTAGCAGTAAAACCATTTGGCAATACTGTGTTTTGTTTGTGTTCATCAAGGCAAGGAACACTATTCCTATTTCAGGCATCAAGTACTCATAGCTACAGATTAAAGCTCTTTCTGCCCCAGCTATGTATCTTACCTCCATTCTCAGAATACTCTTACTGCATCATTGTTGTGCTTGCCTTTTGCACAGGTGTATTTGTGGATCTCTGAATGGGACTGAAGTTAGTGTCAAAGTGGATAATTTTGTTCTGTTGTTTCACTATTACAAATAACTGTTCTAAACCAGCCCAAATGTGTTCAGCATAGAACCCTTACATCCAGCAGAGAGATACAACATTCGTTGACTCAGTCTGGCTGAGTTTGAACCTAAAGTGTCAAAGATAAAAGGATAGTTTGCTAAATCACAGCAACATCTTATCACTTACAATATAATGTAGTCTGAGCCATTTAGAATCTAAAGTTATAATGTTATATACAGATCTTTTGTACTTTCGGCATTGTTGAATGTTTTCTTAAATGACTTTCTGTGCCATCTTAGAAATAAATGAACCAAATAAAACATTGGGTTAGTAAATTAACACAATGCATCATAAATTGATGAAACATGGATTATTTCCCTTATGATTCTCTTCACAGTGAGTTCCCAGTCACAGCAGCAATGCTATGGAGAAATAGAACAAGCAAATGGTGTGTGGTATGGATAAATCTGAGAAGCTAAAGTAATATTTTCTTAAGATGAGATTTTTTTAAACAATTATTCTGTTTACATGCCAAATTGTGCTCTTTATTAATCTAAAATGGCATTATATTAGAAAGCTATGTTCCTCCAGGTATTTTGCTTCTAAGGGCAATAAACAGAAGGTAAAACGATTTAACATGTTGACCTTGCTGTATAAGATAGTCTATATATTCAGTAACATCAAACGAGGTGTTCATATATATTAATTCAAAAGGGGGTAAAGTTTGGGGAAGAAGAAGAACAAATGGGTGGGATCACAAATATCTGTGTTGTTGCATCAAGATCTTACATTTAATTTTGTTCCACAGTAGTGGTCCTCTGCATTTACACAAAGATTGATTTAAGAGATTTATTTTGCAGTATAGAAAAATATAATTAAAATACTGATGATGACTAGCTGGGAAGAAGCTTTCCTAAAGTTTGTACACGTTTTGAAACCCAAGGTTTGACATAACTATGTGTCTCTCTCCCTTTCTTCCTCCCACAAAGAACCCATGGAAAATCTTAAGATCATGCACCAACACGCCAAAGGTGGATATGCAATCAAAACATTACTCCCACTTATAGCAGCACAAAGTTGTGGTTGATGCGAATGAGAGAAAAATATTGAAGAAACTACAATGGGCCATTATTTAGAGAAATGGGGAGTCATGGTGGGATGAGGTGATGTGCTGCTACAGCAGGTACTTTTTTAAAACCTGGCCTACTGTGAGTGAGTTTTTCTTGGTTTTATTACCCATGTACTGAGGAAAATAAGTTAAATAAAAGTTTAACTCTGAGAAGACCAATCTTAGTCAAAACATGGTTTATACAACAGTTGTTTCCTTTGAGGGGGATATTATCTCAATTTGCATTCTTCTCTTAGAAGGCAGCCTCCATCTTTAGTTTTTTCCACAGATGAACTTGTTTTTGCAACAGCACCTTAATAGGAAGTGACATTCCACATGATGGCTGTAATGGCTACGTTGCCAAACAAAACAAAATCACCACCACCCAATAAATATTCTTGCATATTGGTGTTCTGTTCCAACTGCATGTGAATTGTGAATTGGATGGCTACAACAAGACGAGGTCAGTTTAGCAATCGACAACAAACCTGATCTCCTGTTTCAGTGTCCACTAATCTGGTTGTTTCTAGAGCTCCGTAGATCAGGAGTGCTGAGTGTGTATTTGGTTTTCCAAATATTTATCCTGTATGGGCATCCATGAGTTAGACATCTCCAGATGATTCTTAGAAAATTTTACTTTGGAACGGGAAGATTGAACAGTGTCATGGATACAGACATATTATGGGACCCATTGCTGGGTATTCATTCTTTGATTAATTCCTATAGCTCTCCGGCTGGGATGGTGTTCATATAATCTTTTTAAGCTTTAATTGGGTCTCACTTAGAGAATCAACACATTATCTTTTGGTAATGTTCATTATTATTCAAGTACAGAAAGTTCTTTACAGCTTTCTGTCTCTTTTTTCTACTCTTAAGCATGATAGAAATTCATACAAAATGCTTTAGGTTCTATATATTCTAAAAACAACATCTTTTGAAGAAGTGGGAACTATCTTACATGCTCAACAAACTCCGAAGAGATAGGAAACAATCTTTCAAGATTGTATTTTTCACCCATACAAATTTATGGTGATTTATTTACAAGCAGTGGAAACTTCTACAGCACAATTCAACTGACTCCCAGTGTCCTTACATTCCCAAGAACAAATGGTTTCCATTTTTATATTGCAACCTTTCTCATTTGTAATGGATAAACCCTTTCCAGGTAGAGGATGACTGCATGCAGTCCATTTGAAAAGTAGGCCTCCGAAAATGTACCAAATGCCTTATTAGCAAATTTGAGTAAAACGCCATAACTAGATTTCAATGCAGTACATTATGACCCAAACTGCCATCCTACGTTGATTGTCTTAATCAACCAAGGAAAGTCTCCATCTCAAGTCCTTCTGTTTACTTTTCAGATTTCTTCACAGGTATTGAAACCACACGACATTCTCTATACCCCCAACATCCATCTGGAGTCGACAGTATAATAGCCAACATATTGAATTTATCTCTACATAATTGGATGCTACTCACTCTGAATTGACAGCCTTCCTATTCCAGATTAATGGTGTTTTACAGATACAGCAAGAGGCTCCTAACATTGTTCCAGCAACCCAGACTTACCTCTTGGCCTTACTGGTGTTGGGAGAGAAAATACTATTTGTTTCTCCTGGAACCAAAATAAAGATGAAAATGAGATAGAAATAATCATGAAAGATATATTCAGCTTATCTGCACAGATGGATCATCCGAGCCACCTGAAGGCCAATATCTTGTATTCATCCTTGGTAGTTTCTCTGTGACAGTCGTTACATGACAGTCACCATTATGTGCACTTTCAAATTTGAATGGGGCATCTTCACCCACCAGAATATTTAAACCCAACTCATCAAAAATAGAGTCATTGCACTTGCTGATCTCTAATTTAGGGCATGTGTTTGTGATATCTTAAAAGAAGCATACATTCTACGTTCGTACAGATTATTAGTCATATGACCCTTAAGCCATACGAAAAACAAGGTCTTTTCCTTAGAACTATCGTATTATTTTAGGAGTAACAAAGAAATAAACAGTGAAGAATCGAATTAGATAGCATAAACAAGGATATATGCTACACCAATGTGATTCTGTTCCAAAAAGGACAAAACGAGGATGGCTGGTTATTGCATTGCATCTGGAGCATGATCCCATTTGAAGAGTCAAGACTATAAAGAAAATCTAAATTTTCTTTTGCATACTCTGTGTACCACTACACTTCTGACCTAAGAAATATTCTCATAATACCAGGAATGGGCTTCTGGTCGGATGAAGCATCTTCATTTTAATCCGATCTATCATCTTCTATCTTCTTCAACACACCAGTCCAAAATGTACTATTCAATTAAAAAGTAGGAAACTATTTAAATGTTAAATTTATTGGTCCTGTTGAATAACCTTTCTAAGGTTGGTCTTAAGATTTTTCCGAATTTGTTCAAAGATCATTAACTTACACTAGTTGTTTTCCTATTTAGTAAATGAATAACCAATCTGCCAGTATTTTTCTATCTTTGGATCATTTTCTTGGGACTAGGTTTTGAACAAAGTTTCGGATTTGTGAATTGGCTTTTCTGTCAATCTAAGGCTTGTTCGATATTCATCTAGAGGAACACACTTTGAAATTTCATTTTCAAAGATTCAGATGAGTAAAATGCGACGTGAGCAGTGAAATTCAAAATGTCATGAGAAACTTCAGATGAAATCCAAAAATACATTATGCAAGGTCCACGAATCCCTAATGGCTGGAGTTTGCCAAATGTTTTGGCTGCAATTAAGGCCGTAGTTTTCCAAGTGAAAACTTTGGGTCATGTGTCTTGTGATATCTTAAAAGAAGCTTACAAAAGATTGTTTTCTCTTCATGGAAGAGTCTTCTGTTAATGAAAAGTGAAAGGTGTCGTGGATGTATACAGGGCTTGTATTCGAATCTGGATAGTTTAGCCATCCTTAAAATGTCTTAATTGCATTGTCAATTCCAACAGTATGTTGAAAAAAACAATTCTGATGACTAAGTGATTTCTCTTTCTTTACAGGATTATGTGGGTGAAAGCCCTATCCATAAGGCAGCACGCTCTGGAAGTCTGGAATGTCTTAATGTCCTCGTGTCTCATGGGGCAAAAGCAGAGTAAGTGAACAGGACTTTTTTTNAATAATCAGAACAGTAATCTGTAATGTGATTGATATAAGAGCAGTATACAAATTAAAAACACATAAAATAGTTAATGGCATTATCTTAGTTAAGGAGCTGTATGCTTTAATTTTAGCCCAAGGCATTTCAACATTTAAATTATCACTGGAATGCTTACCTTTTTTCAGTAACTAGATATATTTTTAAGTAACTTTACCTATTTTTAAATATAAAAGAAATGGTTTAGTTCACCTTTTTATAACAACACTACACTTTGCATTTATATAGCGCCTCTCACGCAAGATAGCATCCCAGAGCGCTTGGCAGTGGCTGAGCACAACATCTGATTCCAAATAAATCCTCGTGAAATTAATGGGAAATGGGATAGATAAAAAGTACATTTTGTAAAATACCTTTTTAAAAGTTTTTTTTAAAAAAGTTAATTTATGGTCTGGGCATCGATTTACATTATTTAACGAGAATTATAGCATAAAGCTCCTTTAAGTAGAATTGAATATAAATGACTTGTTTGCCTTTTTTAAAAAAAACTGAACAGTTCAACATTCAAAAAATTATCATTTCAGACCCTATTTTTGCTTTGCCTTATTTGCTCATTAGTTATTTTATATAAAATTGGAGAAGATTGTTATGATTTTCTTTTGCCAAAAAATTTAAGCTAAAATTAACATTTGGATTTTAAAATCTTAATTTTTGCAATTTAACTGAAAAGTTTATAAAAAAAACATTTTCTACTGATTTCAAACACAAATTTTAAGAATAAGATATAACTTTAAATATGATTATTGTGGCAGACTGTAGGACTAGAATTAAATTGTGTAAAGTTTTCAAAAACCTACATACACTTTTAAGTAGCACTAAAACACATTACATTAAATTGAGTTAAAAGCTGCCCCACTTGTTTAATTCATACTTTTGTTGCACTACAGATATTGAACAGCTTGTTACCTTAGTAAAGTTAGGGAGATTCCTCTTATTTCAATAAACTCATCTACTGAAACTCTCTTCTGCTTTGGTTATAATGAATGTTCAGTGTGGTTTAACTGTGGTACAGTAGTTACAAATCAGATTCAGGGAGTCCCCTATTTCATCAAAAAATGCTGAATATTCATTATAACCACAGGAGGTAGAATGCAGCGGTGTGTGGGCCAGTGGAAAATCTTCAGCCCAGCAGTGCTTCTTATCAGCCTTGCTCATTCTATGAATGAAAGCTTTTCAAATGTTTTAATGCCCTTTCTAATCTAACTTGCTTCCATTAACCTATTAATTGCTACTAATCTGGTTTGTTTTGTTCTTGTTTCTCCTGTATTTTTTTGTTTTTTTTAATCTTGCATTTTTAGTCATATTCACTCTTCTCGTCAACCCCCTACCCCACCTCCAATTTCACTAACTTTGCTATTGAAACTAGGGAATTTATGTTATGGTCCCATTTATTCACATACACTTTGCTACCTCAGTATCCTAATTACTTCAACGAAATGTTTAAATGATTCATATTCTGAATCGTTCCAATATTTATTTTATTGCCTCAAATAATACAATACAATATAATTTACATTTATATAGCACCTTTTACATTGAGAAGATATCTCAAAGCACTCTGATAAACAATGTAGTTCAGAAAAATTATGTATTCCAAAACATTACCAAATTTAATTGATCACAAACAAACTTGCTAGGAATTGAGTCTAAGCATTCTGTGACCTTCTGACCCACCTCAAAGTTACTTTTATTGGAATGCCATATTTAAAACACATTCTCTGTTGAGAGCCCTGATTCCTTTTAATGTTAGATTACCTAAAAACAGTGGAGGAAAATTTGTAATGTTTCATGATTGATTCCATTGATTTATTGCTGGATTTCAGGTCTGAATGCTTCTGAGGCTTTGACACAATGTTTTGGTCCGTAGCAACTTTCAAAACTGTATTTTGATAAGGCTGACTTAGAGTGGGAGAAAATATATATATATTTTACTATCTCATCAGCTCCATCTGAAAATCCTTTACTTACAGAATACATGCTAAGTTGGAATCTTAATTTTTAGATGTGCAATTATGCCATTTTCCAGGAGTATAGCGATCTTTTCCCAGCTATTGCGTCGTCAGACTCCTCTGATATTGGTACAGTGGTTGGGCACAAAGAATGTCTGCATTCCCAATCACAGAGAATGATCAAATGATCAAAGATGTCCAAAGATCAAATATTCAGATATTGCTTGCTCTAGGTCAGCTTCTCCTGCTCTAGGTCAGCCCATATCAAAAATAGCATCTGAAATTTTTTCAAAAGGTCCTAAAGAGCAACCATTTTGCCTAGGCTGGGAGGCTGTGTGTTTAGACCTAAAATGACAAACAACAACAAATTACATTCGTACAGAAAATAGTCACCTTCAGTGGTGTCGGGAGGACATCCCAAGGCATTCAAATTAGTTTTCATAACTAAATTAATATATTAAATCTATTATGGCATATCACAATTGCCACTCCATATTTCTACATGTCAAAGCTCAGAAAGAAAGTCATAGGAATACTTTCTGTTTTTAAATACTACTCTTCACTCCTCCCTCCCCCCAAGCTCAATTAGGGAAGGGAATTAATACCTGGTAGAAAATATCATTGAATTTGGTATCCTACAAATACGGTAGTTTGGCCTTTCTTTCCTCAGCTTCTTCCCTTACATATTTAAAGAGGGGGCTCTGCTCACTTCAGTTAAGTTGAACCTTCAGGCTGGCTTGGGCAACCTGAAGAGTCAGTCTTAAGTAAAATGAATGAGCTGCTCCAAGAGACATGCAGCCCCTCTACGTGGCATCCATTAGAAGATTGGATGCGGAATCCAGTATGACTGCATGCTCAAAAGCTGTCCCAGATTAGATTCTATTGAACTGAATGGAGCAGCTTCAATATGCACACTCCCTCTCTTTGTAACCTACATCACTAGGCCATCAGAGAAAGGAACACAATTTGAAAAATGATCTCTGTGAGGCACCAAATGTGACTATTTTCTAGAAGATGTACCATATGTACATTATATTTTTTAGATCAAACTATCAAATAGTGTACTGAACCCTACCTAAAACATTTTGTTATTTAATGGCCTCGACACTTGTACTGATTTGAAGTAAGTTTCTTAGTTTTGTTTTGAAAATCAGATGTAATTCCTTGAGCCCTGATGTACAAGGATGTACCTATCAGCGTTCCATTTGATCCCATCCTTCCACAGTATTAACCTCGCTATCGTCCATTACAGCTTCAGACTGTTTCTAATAAGTCAAGTCCAAGTTTACACCCCACTCAGTTCAGTAAATTTGTGACAAATATCCAAATAATACTTAAATTATTACAAATTACACATTATTACAAATACAAACACATTACAAATTTCCTTTGCATGTTACAAATTTTATTAACACAAAAATGTAAACTTTGTGCCAGAAAATGACTGAAATGTGTTTGGAAATGTGATCATTTACAAAGATTCTTTTCATTGCGTTTTTTTAAAAAGTTCCACAATATTTCCTATTAACATTTCACAAAGGAGGGTGGGCGAATGTTGAACCTACTTTTGTTTGCTGCTTTTTTTTGTTTGGAATAACACTACTTTTTTTTTCCTTTTCCATAATCCTATTGCATTCTTGTTTACATTCAAGATCTTCCCTAATATCTCTTTAAAGTTGATGGTCCAGCAGAATGTTTTCCCCTGTGTGTTTTCAAAATTGCCTGCCAATATGCACCTGGTATAGCTAAAGACAAGCTTCCATTATTTTTATGAACATCTTTCTCCCCATTAGTTGATTTCCTCTGTCCTTCAGTCCAGTTAGCATAGACTTACACAATCTGATTCGTGCAGTTTCTCATACAGGTCCTACAAAAACAGTCTTGACAAGGATTCACAAGGTAGAATAATAGGAAAACCGAATAATTAGAATCCTGGAAGACTCCTTTCTTCATCCTCGACTGTCCTAAACACTGCTACTCCAGACTCCGTTCCTCAGAATGCAAACATTAGAATTCCTGATGTCAAATGAACTTCTGAAACTGGTCATGCAATAGCATCCCAATCCTTTCATGGTGTTGTTCATGCTGCTGGGAAAACTAAGGAAGTGCCTGATGACTGGAAGCAACAAATCATCCTCCCCTTTATCAAAACGGCACAAAGCAGAAACTATCCAGAAGTAATAGTACTTTCAACACCTAGAAAATTCTTGGTCATGATTTCTTAAACTGATCCAAAAACAATTTTATCCAGATCATCCAATACCAACTACCTCATTGTGGCTTTACCAAAGCCCAACCTACTGTTGATCCAGTTTACACCTATCGGGTAGCGACTGAAAATGCCTTGAGGTTTACATCCCCTCCTCTGCAGTAATCACTTCAAACAAGGGTTTTATTCCATCTTCTGTGATGCTCTTTGGAAAAAAGGTTGCTCTACGCCAACTCTGAAAATTCAACTATATGAAAGTGTACAGTAATTGGACTGATATCCGATAGAAACTGGTTTCCAGCAAAGGGGGAATTGTGCAATAGATTGGATAACGAGACAACTTCATGTTCTTGACACCTTGGAATCTGTATTGGTAATGCCCTTTCTTGATGTAGAATATGCTGATGACGTCTGCTTGATATGGCAAAACAAATCTCTGTCCTGCACATGCTTTATTGTGTGGAGGCGATGCTGATGATGCGCATATTAGTGCTGAGAAAACAAAAGGAATGTTTGTTTGGTGAGCAAATCAAGACATCCCTAAGTCCCCTCTCAGTATATGCATTGAAATATCCAATCGCTGTATAATAAGTGATTTTTTTTGTAGCTGAAATTGACGAGCTTTTCATGAATTTCTGAAGCCCCCTCCAGGCTCGTCACAGCCCAAACTCCACGTTACTGATTCTCTTTGATATTTGTGTTTTTCGATAGTTTTATTGCTTTGAAAGTACGATGAGAACATGCTTTTCTCATTAAGGAGCTTTCAACTGGAATAATCA